AAAAGTTACATTCTGTAGGCGCAGATACTCCTTTACTTCAATATAATTCAAACAAAATTTTTATAAAAAGATTATAAGCACTTAAAAATATTATCAGTTCAAGAGGCTAGTGATAATGATAACAAATACTGCTATGCTGTCTGAAAATTATGCTGCCGCTTTAAACAAATCCAACAATGGAAACTAATACAGAATTAGAGGATATATTTATTTTCTTATATTCTAATTTTTCATTTAATTGGATTTATTTTTTTACTCATTAAAAGAAATAAAATCAAAAAAAAGGAAATTTAACAGATCATGTGTTTTATGCTATTTATGAATATTATTTTATCTTTTTGATGAAATTTTATTTTCATCAATGAGAAATATTAATAAACTATTTTTTCTGAAAGTGTAAAGCTGAAAAAAAAAGAAAATAATTTTTACAGATGAGAAATTTTTGAAATTATCGATGGCATGCATAACTAATGATCGATAGAAGATAGTTCATTATAAGCTACCTCCATTATTAATTAAAGAATTAATGTTATCTTACATGTAGAACTGGGTTATTTGCCTGCTGTATTTACATAATATATATCATACTTGCCTACTGTAGATTTGCATAATATACATAACATATTTGCCTACTGTATTTACACAATATATAACATGTTTGCTACTGTACTTACACAATATACATAACATATTTGCTTACTGTATTTACATGATACATATATCATATTTGCCTACTGTATTTGCATAAGGCACTATCGCGATATTTGCTTACTGTAGTTTACATCGTATGAAATACCGCATTTCTCATTCTACAGTACCATTTGACCACTGTATTTTACATCGTACATTATTACAGTATTAGTCTACTGTATATTACATTGCACAATTTGTCGTAATATTTGAAGATTGTATTTTTAAATATGCCCACTAATACAGCATTCTTTTGCCAATTTTACATCCGATATAATTGCTATAAAACTGATAAACAAACATAGATATACTTATTTATTTTGTAATTTTACAAAAGAATAAATAGCATTAAATGATTAATTAAATTTGCTTTAAGATTTCGTTGAAAATTTTTCAAGAATTTACTTTTTTTACAGTAATTCAATTTTTTAGTTGCATCTTTCCGGTGAAAAGATAATGATGCTATGTTGTAATTATATTAGCAATAAAGAATTAAAATTAATGATGAATATTTTACTTCTAAAAAATTCTACATAATTCTAAATGATGCGATTTATAATCAGCTTTTTTCTTTTTTCATTTTTGGTACATTACATAATTAGTAATTTTATAAGCAAAAATTTTATTCTAGTAAATTTGTACATAAATTATTTTTAAAATGAAACAAATATGATTTTGAAATGCCTACATATAGGATTTTCATTCACTTAAAATTATGAATGAAATGAAATGGAAAACAATTAATACAGCGGTTTCATTTATAAAAAAAAAACAAAACTTTTTTACCTTTTTTACATTTACCAATTATAGCAATACTTCGATTCCTTCATTAAAAGGAAAGTTTCAATGCTACTCTTAGAAATGAAAACTGAAAAAAGTTAAAAGTATGCAAATAATGCATAAATGGTTAAAAACAAACAGATTTCAATTTGATTTTCTATTTTAATTAATATTCACATAAAGTGACTTATATTATTATTAGGAAGCTATTGACTGCTATAAAAATTACTATGAAAGCTTTTCATATCGCTTAACAACAAGTCATGTTAAGCATACTCAATAACAACTTTTAATAACTAAACATTCATTTTGTTATTAAAATATCCATTTTAAGCATACTTTGGAATATTAAAAGCTATGGAATATGAATGCATCTACTTTAATTTATTAATTGTCACACACATTTGTGACGTAGATGAAAAATTCTCAAAAATTATTTAAAACCATAAATTTTTTATCTTAAACTTACTGAGTTAGAATAATGTAATTAAATAAATTAGTAATAAAATGCTATAAAATTGATAGCATTGTAATCATAGCTGTGATAAGGAAATTATTCAAATTGTTGATAAAGCTATCAGCAATTGTTATCATAATGTACTGTTATCTGATACTGATACAACCAAATTTATTTAACTGAACGGCTAGGAATTCATAGCATTTGAATAATCCTTTACTCCATTTTATTCATCCAATTCTGTTCTTTGAAATAGATTGATTTTATTAAAAATCAATTGTTCAATTTTCTGTTTGTTATCGATATTTCAGCAATTTACCTGAAATGATGAATTCATTAAAATAATAATAATTTTTTGATTGATATTTATCATCGGCTTATGCTTTACTCAATTATACCAATTCAAATTTAGCTCCTTTACAGTATATTTTTCAAATTCTTGAAATAATCAGGAATAACTAATTCTTTGGGATAAAGCAGTTGATGATTTATTATTTTCTTCCTAATATTTTAAAACTAATTTCGATATACATATATATATATATATAACTCAATTAAAGCATCAAATTTAAATAAACTGCAATAAAATTATCAAATATAAGTACTGCTATTCAGTATTTACCAAGAAATCATCAATTTTACAAAAAGCGCTATTGTCGCATTGCTGTCATTCAAATAATATAATTAGCACAGAAAGATTGAAAATAATAAATTCCAAACTATGCAATGGGTACCTTTGTTATTATATTCTCATTTTTCTCATTCTTAAAAGAGCCATTAAAACATTTTGTAATTTTACGCTAAAGAAATATAATCATAAAATATTGATTGCTTAAGAGAAATAACAAAAAATTTTCATTGAAAAAACAAACAAAAACTTTTTCCACCTTAATTAAAGGACTAAAAACATTCTTATTAATATTTAATCTTTTTTAGTAATACAAAAAAAAAATTTTTTTTTTCTTTTGTTCGTTTTAGCTACTTTTACATTATATATGATAAATAGCATAGAAATACAATAATAAAATAATACGATAGTATCAATTTACTGATAAAAGCTATTATAGATAAATAAATAATGAATGAAGAAGAAAAATTTAGTGTAAAATTTTATAAAAAGTTTTCAAAAATATATTTTATAATTATTTAAAAAAAATAATAGTAATCAAAACAAACCAAATATTTCAATGCAACAGGAGCAATATAATAAGAAATACTAAAAAAAAATTTTTGAGAGATATCTGATCGACGATTATGATAAAAAATTTCTTCTGTTTGGTCAAAAATACAGCAATTTTTCTCTCTTTTTATAATTTTGGAAATTTTTTTTATTTAATTTAAAAAATTTGTTAGTATTTTTATTTTAGAAAAAAGTGACTAAATTGAAAGGTTAAAATTTGATCAGATTGTTCCAAGTGATAATTCAACTTATGTCATTTATTCATTGCTGATATAATTAAATCTTTTTTTACTACAGAATTTTTTTATGTTTTATAGTATTTCATCCATCTGTTTGCTTACAATAATTTAAAAATTAATTTTTAAAAAAAATTTTTTTTTAAATTATTTTTTTTTAATAAACTGCTAAAAAAGTCAAAATAAAAATGTTTGAAAACAAAAAAAAAAAAAGATGATACATCTTTTTTCAACATTTTATCATCTTATTTCATGCTAAATTAATGCTAATCTTAATTTTAAATGACAAATACTTTTATTTTGATGGAATACTTTTTTTTCTATTTTTTCTATTTTTTTTTTTTGCTAACTTTTTATGACTTTTTGTTGCTATAAGTAATTTTTAATTAAAAGTATGGCAACTATCATATATAATCATTACCACTAACAAATTCACTTTCGCTATTTCTGTTCATTTTTAATTAATTAAAAGAAAAAAATTTTTAATTGTAATAAATTCATATCATTTATATTATAGTTAGTATCATTTGTTGATAAACAATTGTTATCAATAAACTTTTTGGAATTAATTTTAAATATTACTTTTTTTAAAAAATAATTAAATCTTTGTTTTTTTTTTCTTCACTTTTTTATGATTATTATTGCTGCAAAACACTTTTTAATAGATGAAATAATAAAGTGAAATAAACAATTTCTACTTTGAAATTCTATTTGTTATATTTTAAAAGGATGAAACCGCTTGACAAGTAGTAAACAATTTTGTCCTTTATAAGAATAAACTTAAATAGTACAACAATTTTGAAATTAAAATATATTAATATTAAAATGAAAAATAAAAAAACAAAATAAAACATCACTACTCCCTAATAATAACTACTATATTTGAATTTATTACAAATTAATTTATAATCACAAAAAAAAAGAAACAATAGCAGTTTGTTATTCATTATTCTATTAATATTATTAAAATTAATTATATTTATTTTATTTTATTTGAACATAAAATTTGCACAATTTATGACGTAAACGTTTGTCATACGTAACATACGTGATACATGCACGATAGATGTGTAAATATTAGAAGAAAAAGCAAATTAGCTTAATTTACTTGAAATAAATTGGTTATTAGAATTGATAGAGAGAATTCTATTGTTTAATTTATGCACTAATTAATTTTTGTAATTGCTTTTAAAAAAATTGATATATTATATTAATTCAAATACTTTACGATCAATGGACACACATTCTACGTCATACAAAATTTATATGAAAAATTGCTAGGTAATTTGAAATTATTTCTTACATTCATTGTATGGAAGTAAATTTTATTGAGCATTGCTTAAATTAAGTAACTTTTCAAGCTTACTTATTTTTTACTTAGCTGTGTTAAGTTTAAAATCAAAGATTATTAAAATTGTTTTAATTTATCAATTATAATAATCTAATTTTTCATTTTATTTTATGCAGAATTAATTACAAAATGAATTAAACAATTTGAAAAAAAAAAAAAAAAACAAACTCAATCAATTTAAAACACTAAACATTCAGTTTTTTTTTTTTTTTCAAATAACTTTTTTTTAAATTTAAATTTTTGTTTTCTTTTTCGTTCATCCTTGATTGATTATAAGAGTTGATATTGATATCATTGATATCAGTATCATTTTTGATAATGATATCTACGAAATAGAAAACCGAATGATGAACACAATGATAATATAAATAACATTGTTAGCCATATAGAAATATTTTTTAGACATTTTGCTTCTAAATAAAATCTTTTTATTATATTATATTTTGCAAAAATATAAATTTGATTTATTATTAATTCATTCTTAATATATTCTTTTTAAAAAACAAAAAAAATTTTTTCTAATTTATTATTTTTAATAATAATCACTTATAGTTATTACCTAATTTTTATGTTATTTAAAACTTCGAAATTGCTCAGAAAAGATAATTAAAGCAGATATTTAAAATAAAAAATAAGTTCAAAATATAAAACATATATTTAAAAATAATAGTTACTAATTAGTTTACCTGATATTGGATTGAAATATGCTTTAATAATTTCATACAATAATGTTCTCAATGTCACCGCAATATTACCTGTCTAAATTAATTACTATTATGAACAAATTAATTCCAACACATGCAAATTTAATCCATTAATTGAATAATTTTTGAGTAATTTCTTCTTTTTTTAAATCAAAAAGATTTGATAATTTTAATTAATCACAACTATTATGTATTATCATTTTGAAAAATAAATGAATTTAAAAAAAAAAAATAGAAAAAATAAAAAAAATAAATGAAAAAAATTAATAGTAATATATAATAAAGCAATCATTTACACTTTTAAATATCAATAATAATTCTAAATATCAATAAAATAAAGCATTAATTTACACATTTAAATATCACTAATAATAAATATCAATAAAATTAATAATAATTAAATTTAAATATCAATAATAATTCTAAATAACAATAAAATTAACAATAATTAAATTTAAATATCAATAAAATAAAGCATTAATTTACACATTTAAATATACTAGTACACTGGAAAATAAATGTCAATAAAATTTATAATAATTAAATTTAAATATCAATAATAAAAATTTGCAGCATTACACATCTATAAATGATTACTTTTTTTTGTTTAAATTGAGCTTTAATTAAAAATTAAATATTTCAATACTATTAATATATAATTATTTACTAAGCAAACTTACAACAACAATAATATTAGCCCATATGAAAAATGATTTTTCGGTAATACTAGCAAGGAAAAGAATAATTCCATTAATGCAAATTGTTGAAAGTAAAAATGGATGTGACTCTAAGCATTGTGTCATTTCATTGATAATACATTCAAATATTATCAGTGCTGATGAAAATATCACCATTATTGCACCCAAAATAAATAACCATATCTAGATAAGAAGAAAAAAAGATTAAATTATTTTATATATTAATTTATTAAATTAATTAATTTATATAGAAAAAAAAATTAAAATTAATATATAAAAAAAATAAATAACCATATCTAGATAAGAAGAAAAAAAGATTAAATTATTTTATATATTAATTTATTAAATTAATTAATTTATATAGAAAAAAAAATTAAAATTAATATATAAAAAAAATAAATAACCATATCTATAAAAGAAGAAAAAAAAATTAAATTAATTTATTATTTGCATTAAATTAATTTATTTGCTTAATTTTAAAATAAATAATCATATCTATAAAAGAAGAAAAGGAAATTAGATTAACATAATTTAAAATTAAATTAATTTATTAAAAAAAAAATTGAAAATTAATTTATTTGCTCATTATATTTGTTTAAATTATGCATAATTCATTCAGTAATATAATAAAATATTATGCAAAACATTTTAACTATCATTCATTTTCTTAAATTTTTAATTAAATGTTTTTTTTTTTTATTTATATAAAATTATTTGTTTGATAGCAATAAACATAAAATTATTTAATAATAATGCAAGTATAAACATAAATTTCCATCATATTACTACTGTAAAATGTAAAGTAGCAAAAATGGTTACTAAAAGAAAAGGAAATAAAATTACACGGTAATAAAATATTTATTTAAATGAATAAATAAATAATTTTTAAGATAGAAAAAGCCAGAAAAAAAATTGATAAATAAGTATGAAATAACGAAATTAAAAAGAAAAAAATTGAAATATTCTAATAAAAACTAAAAATTTTTGCATGCCTTTATTGGCCTCCACATTATTATGGATTGCAAATTGTGAAGGGTTGTAATTCAATTAAACGAAAATTTCAAAAATTCAAGAATGAAATTTAAATGATAATTTTTACTGCAAATATTGCAAAAAATATATTTGCAAATAAACAGTAATTTTAATTGATAGAATATTTAGAATAGCTAAGATTCAACCAAATCATCAAAACAATCATTTCGAAAAAAATAGCAAATTTTTTGTACATATATGCAAATTTCAAATAATATTTTAATTTGATTTAATTTATAATCAAAAAAAAAAAGATATATATAAATGCATTTTATTGAAATGAAAGCATACTTTCTTCATTTTTGAACTTAACTTCTCTTTGACCTTTCAAAAACACTCTCTCTCTCATTTTCAATTTCTCTCTCTTTCCCTGAATTGCATTTGGAAATTTAATATTTATGAATAAATTTGACAAAAAATTTTTAACAAAACATTTTTTCATAGAAAAACAGAAAAAAACTTTTGAAATAGTTTAATAAATGCAATAATGCCTTATCAGAAGTGATAAAATTAAAAAATATAATATTTAGAATTTAAATTATTAAATAACAGTTGATAAATTGTTAGAAAAAATGCACAGTATTTATTTTTATATTTGTGATAAAAAATTGCAAATGAAAAATAAATCAAAAAAAAAAAATTAATTATTACAATTTTTTTTTTTTGCTTTTGAATCCAATTTATTCACTTCATCTTATTTTGCTCCATTTTATATTTTATTTGATTTGTAATGCACTTGAAATTTTATTTAGACAATGAAAGTATGCAAAATTTAAATATTCACTTTTATTTCATCAAAAATTTTCAATTTAAAATTGTTTCCTTAAAATAAAATTAAGTTCAGCAAAAAATAATAATAATAATAAAGAGATCATTTTAGATTAATTCTTGCATTTTAGATTAACTCTTGTCCATATAAATAAAAAATAAATCAAAAAAAAAAAAAAAAAAAAAGGAAAAACCTGTTAATAAAGTAACAAATAGCCGAAGTTTGGTTCAGAGAAAAATTAAAATTAAAATCAAAATTAAAAACTTAAATCAATTTTCCACGACTATTTTGATTATGTGAGTAAAATCAGTTATAATTTTTGTAGTAAAATTGGAACAAATGCAAAAATATCACTAATTGTATATTGTAATTTGTTGATCAGAGCATATTTGCATGAAGTTCGCAAGAATTAAATTTATTCAACAACAATAATTTTAGGAACTTAAAAAATCAATTTATCAAATTACTCGAACTGAAAGAAATTTAAATTTATAATTCAAATAATAAAAATTGCAAATCAGTAACATTAAATATAAGAATAAAAAATAGCATTAATGATAGCAGAAATAATAACAATTGTAGTGATAATGGCGATAATAATGATATTAACAAATATTATTATTAACAATTGATAATAATGCTGATAAATGATAAAAAAAATAATAATAATAATTGATAAGCAATAAATATTAATAAACAATACTGATTAACCTTTACTTATTTTTTTATCATCTCTTCAATTGAGTGAAATTTTAAAAATTCAAATGAATTATAAGGTAGTATTAACATTTATATTTTTTTTCTAAACAAATAATCGTAAGCAATTTCATCAGGAAATACTTATTAAAGTAGAAAGAGGAGAAAAAAATGTAAAAGTTAATTTAAAAATTCAAAGTATACAATAAAATATTATTACTCATTATAATCGATCATTTAATGAAAAATGTTAAAGTTTATTTCATTTCATTTCATTTCATTTTTGTTTTTTCTCATTGCCAATTCATTCATTCAACATTTTCGTATTGATTTTCAATTAAAATCCTTTTTTTTTGTAATATACTGTTGCTACGGTAGTGGCAAAATGTCAAAGATGAAATGATGTAATAAAAATTTTTATTTCCTTTTAATGCATAAAGGGTGACAATTTCTAATTTTCTTCCTTGTCACCTTTTTTTTTTCTCTCTTTCTCTTCCTTTCTTTTCTTTTTCTTTTTCTTTTTTTTTTCTTTGAATTTTCAATTGTATAAATATAACTGCAATGAAGCAGAAGACTTCACAACCATCCTTTTTTTTTTTTTTATCAAACTTTTTAAATCATTTGTTAAATTTATTCTCTTTTTCATAAAATTTTCTCTTCTTTTTATCTTTTCTTTTTCCCTCTCTCTCTCTCTCTCTCTCTTTCTCTTTCCCTTTCTCTCAATATGTGTGTGTGTGTGTGATCATTTTTCCATATTTAAGATAACCTAATGAAATAATTACATCGTTTTGAATCATTCTAAACGAGCAATACCACAATGTTACACTTCGCTTCTTTCTTTCTTTCTTTTTTTTTGGGGCATTTATTTGATCAGTGTTAATTTTTATTCATTTAATTTTAATTTTTCATTTACTATTAGTTTATGATTCAAATTTTTTTCAAATATTCCATCAGATAATTTTATTAATAATTAATGCGAAATATTAAGCAATCTAATATATGTAATTAAACTTAATTAATACTAATGATTAATTAAAGGAGAAAAAAAAGAAGGAAAATTGGAATTGTTTATTTGTAAAAAATAGGAAAAAGAAAATATTAAATAGTCAAATTCTAATTAAACTTAATTAATACTATAATTAATTAGCTATTCTGAAGGAGAGAAAAAAAAAGAGGAAAAATTGGAATTTTTTATTTGAAAAAATAGGAAAGAGAGATGATAAAAAGGAAAATGAATTGCTAGAAGAGTTCAGCTGAGAATTAATCAATTATTTATTGCTTATAAATTTTGAAATTTTTTTTAAATTATTTTTTAATTTCATTTTTTTTTTACAAATTTCATTTCCATTTCATTTTTGATTTTTTTAATTTACATTTTAAAATTTTCATTCCTTTTTTTTGATTTGATAATTTAATAATTTACACTTAAATATTTAACATTTTTTGAATCATTACGTCATCATTTATAATCAATCAAATATAATTGTTACACTTATTAATTATATATAGATCATTGCTTTTTTTCTTTTTTTTTACATAATTGTTGATTATAGCATGTAAATTTGAAATTTTTTTTTTAAACAATTTTTTTTTTTTAAATTTCATTTCTATTATTAAATTTTATTCGTTTTTTTTTTTCAAACTTGTTAATTTTATGTAGTTTATTTTATTTTGCATTTATTCTTATTGCTTCTGTTTTGCTCATCTAAAATGATAAAAGGAAGAATGATGAAAAAACACGTTGAATTTTAGTTTAAAAGAATATTCATTTTTAAAATATTATCATACCTATCAAATAAATCTTTCTATTCACATATAATCCAATGAACTGTGAACTTTACGTATTATGGCCGCGTTAAATAAGCTTCTTCCATTCTATTTGTTTGGATGGGGTTCTCTTTTTTTTTTTTTGTTTTCCAATAATTCAAATTTTTTTATATTTATTATAAATGGAGTAAACATATATGATAAAATTGTGCAGAATGTAATGATGGATCGATCTTTCATCTTTTTTTTTCTTATTTGTAGAAAATTGCCAGAATATTAAATTAAAACTTTCAATTCAAACTTAATGTATGAATTTAATCAGAAGTTGTTGTAAGTAGAATTGATACAAAATATTATGTGAAAATGAACAAAAATGCGGTAAGATTGTTATAATATTGAAGTAAGTGTTTTATTACCATCTCCTTTGATAACATTTTATTGTTATTCTTAACAACAGTTGAAATTATTGTTGTGCATTACATGCTATTGCTTCTATAAAATAATTTCTTTAAACTATAAATTATGCTATTTTTTTAGTTTTTGTTTTTGCTTCTTTTTTTGGTTTTTCACGAATAACTTTATAACTGACTTTTGTTTGTAAGTTGTAAAAGTACAAAAGCATTCAATGGATCATTAGTGTCGTCTCAATTTGAAAAGCACTACTCATTTCAAATCTAATAGTTTGAATTTTTAGGACAGCATTTCTAAAAGATGGCGACTTCGAAAAGGCCACCAGATGATGACTCGAAATTACCGACATATAAATTAGTAGTTATCGGTGAAGGTGGTGTAGGCAAGTCTTCCTTAACGATACAATTCTTCCAGGTTTGTTGTTTTACAATTTTCATATTGATTTTTTCCTTACTTTCACAATAATAATTGTAATATCATCCATGAATCATTGGATTGAAAGATAATCTGCACAAACGCCAGTGCTATCATTAGGCGAGTAATACAGTAGTTTAACAAATAGTGTATAAATATAAGTTTAATTTCTAGAAACATTTCGTTGATTATTATGATCCAACAATAGAGGATCAATATATTATTCATGCCGAAGTTGATGGCCAGTGGGTTATCATGGATGGTGAGTATATATTTAATTAACTTTCTGTGGCATTTTTTTAAAGCTAAAACTGAATCGTTTAGATTTTCACGTTTATCGAAAATAAATGCTTTCATTATGTTTATAGCGCTTTGAACGTTTATTCTAATAGGAGTGAAATATAAAATGGATATTCGATAAATTTTGATTAGCTTGGATAGTTTGGATATATATATATATATATATATATATATACAGTAGAATTATGTATTGTCTGTTGAATTAGATTATTAAGATTTTTATACTGTGCTTAATCATGTTGGAAACCTAGGCCAATTTTTCATCTAATTGGATAAGTTTAGCTAGAAAAGCTGATTTAAAAGGAATAAGTAGCGGAAGTGATAGGTTATATGTATTTTGATAATTATAAAAGTTTTTCCAATGAAAAATTTCTGATCATTCACTGTATGATGTCTTTTTTTTTTGGTAGGACGACTTTGTATGTCAATTATGGCTACTTAAACTTATCCAGTTAGAAATGATTTACAAAGTCAATTTGCAAATCATTCATTAGCCTACTGGTTAGATGATACCTGGTTTGAAGCTTGTGAAATTTATGTACTGAGTTCATCGATAGTTCCATTTTTTTATGTCTCTATTATATTAATATTGGATTAGTAGTGAATTTTTAGTGTTGGATA